AAATACGGAAACAGTGTTGTCCAAAGCATATGAGCATATCCTGAGACTCTAATAATTTACAATAGCTCACCATATACATAATTCAAAATCATCCCTGACCAATCTGAAGTTATGATAATGGCAGACAAATTCCTTCAACCACAATCCTGTAGAGATTTAAGTCTGATTAAACTGAAATGAAATCTCTGCAAAACTGATATCAAAACTGACTTTTTTAATCAGGCCTCAAGATATCATAAATTAAGTATGTACTCCTGCTTAAATTTGTGAATGACCAATCAGAAATGACGTTATAAATAATTTGTAACATCATTTTTGATTGGCTATTCTCAAATTTCAGCATGAGTACTTCCTTAAGAATTTTCAGAAAGACTTCATTTTGAACCCCCCCACCTCAATAATAACTGTTAGGGCAGAGCAGAAAGGGGATGGACAGTAGGGCAATTAAGCTGATATCTTTCACAGAATGAATGGTATTAAATTTGAAAAATAAATCATTGAGGACAGAATGAAATAAATGGAAATCTGTACTGTGATATTTGTTTTGGGGTTGAAAAAGGAAGTCTTACCAAATTTTCAAGATCTCGGAGGCCTGAATCATTGATATTTCATAACGATATATATATACAATGGGAAAGTAACTTATAGTCTAACTTATAATTAGCCTGAATAAACATTATGATTCACTATACCAGTATATATAGTTATATGTCAAAATATATCCAAATTTCATAATATGGGTTTCTTAATACATTTTATTGACAAATAATTTTCTGCAGTTAGTGTATATTTTTGTGTTTCAGGAGGTCAGATCAAGAGCAGAAAGAACTACTAGAGATATCAAACTCTGATTCTGACTCAGACATTGTAGCTCAACAGAACAATACATCAAAGAAAATTATTGAAGATGGTACTAGGAGCATTTGTTATAGTGAAAATCTGTATTTGTCAGAAGATTCCAGGCACAGATCTAACTGTACTGCAATGGTTATTCATGAATTTCCATTACTTTACCCAACATCCGTCCATAAGTAAATCTCCATCATTTTTTAAGTGACAACTGACAACTTCAGGCTTGAGTGCATAAAATGTTTGTGTACTACCAGCATCTTTCTATGAGGCAAAACAACTGATAAAATCCTATTTGGTGGCAAAAGTGGTGTTTGATACCTGCATCAATGATTGTGTTGTGTATCGCAGCACTCCTAAGTATCAATATGCTGAACTGGAACAGTGTCCTGTGTGTGGAGAGAAATGTTATGTGCAAAGGAATTCGAAAAAGAAACATCAGTCACCTAGATCATTTAAATACATTCCTGTTGGACCTAGATTAGCCAGAATATTCGGAGAGGAAAATTTTTCAAAGCTAGTGTTTTCTCATCCTGGAAGTCAAAATGAGTCACTGTCAAAAAATAATTATATGGAAGATATTCATGACTCTCCAGTATGGAAAGAATTATATGCTGAATCTGGATTTTTCAAGAGGGATTTGAAAGGTATATCTCGTTCTCTGGTACTTGACGGTGTGAACCCATTTCACAATATTGGTGTCATCTACTTTATGATACCAATGATGCTGACAATACTTAATTTGCCACTTCATATCAGAAATATTTTAGGAAACATCCTCCTAGTTGGAGTTATCTGAGGTAAAAAGCAAAGGGTGGAATAAGTATAGACCCTTACATGGAAATATTAGTAGATGAACCGATCTTCCTTACATCATGTAAAGCATATTCCGCTTATGACAAGGCACCGGTTGATGTTAAGCTAAAACTTTGCTATATGTCCTTGACTATCCAGGTCTCTCTAAGTTATTTCATCAACAGGGAAATGGTGGCATATCTGGTTGTCATTGGTGTCATCAGCAGGGAGTTTATTGCTCAGAATTACACAAAACTGTTTACCTTGGTAATCCATCATATCTGGTTGTCATTGGTGTCATCAGCAGGGAGTTCTCAGAATTACACAAAACTGTTTACCTTGGTAATAAATCATATCTGGTTGTCATTGGTATCATCAGCAGGGAGTTTATTGCTCAGAATTACACAAAACTGTTTACCTTGGTAATCAATCATATCTTGTATTGAGTGATGAGCTGCTTCGGGATACCCAAAAAATTGTCAATAAGCAAAAAAGCAAGAAGACATGAATGAAAAACCAAACTGAGAACAAAGGATTCTGAGAGAGATTATAGAGAAGCATTTGACAAAGCTAAGAACAAATCTCCGGCAAGCTTCATAGCTTCAGCAACTGGCTGTCAAGGTAAATATCCTTTGATGAAGTTAGAGGATATGAAGTATCATCAGTAGAAGTAGAAACTGCAGACAAATGTGCTTTTGATATTAGAGTACCATTGGGATTTGGATTCAACCCTGCACCGTTCTTCTCAAAGCCAACAAGTATGAAATCACACGACTGGTAACAGGTTGCCACACAAGGTATTTTGGAGTACTGTTTTGCGAGGAATGTTAGGTAAAAATCAGAGACATACATTATTCTTATTATTAGACAGTATACAAGAGATTTGCAGTGCAGTTCAAAGGTTGGATGACTTGGATGAAATAGAAGCCAGGTTGAATAGAGCTCTTGCACTTCTTGAAATAGATTAGCCAGTAGTTTTACAAAATATCACAACACATACACTTCATCACATAGTTGATGGTATCCGTAGGTATGGTCAAGTATATAGTACCTGGATGTATGTTTATGAAAGATTCAATAGTTGGTTATGCAAGTGTGCATTAAACAAGAGTCATCCAGAAAACACAGCAATAGAGACCTATTTAATTTTTGAGTGGTGTAACTTCATGATTATGCCAGGAAAATGTGCTGAAATGGAATTGGACTTGACAGAACTTGAAGATGTTGATGATTAAAAAGTATAGAAATATCTACGTTGGTAAGCGGCAGGAAGACATAAACAATGTGCTGTTCCACCTGGAACATGTTCTAATTGGTCAATTAGATAAGTGTGTAGGACAGAATCTGTCAAACATCCCATTCACCAACGGATTGTAAAACACTCTTGTGTTGAAGGAGAGCGTTGTTCTGCTAAAACCATTTCATCTTACATTTGGTTTAAAAGTGAAAACGGTGAAATTGGCCTGTGGAAAATATCTTACATTTGGTTGGATCAAGTACTTAATTAATCATAGTACTAGCTGTGCCATTGGTAAAGTTGACACCCTAGCATACATTGATATATTTGACAATGAAGATGTCAATTATAATGATGATAGTGGTCTGTGGTATCTGATGTATAAAGGGCTACAGAATTGAAAATTGTTCACTTATCATTACTATCTACTCCACTGGTTCATGCCAGAAAACGAAAAAACTTGGTTTTGTAATGTTAAGGCTGTGAGAAAGTCAAATTTTTGAAACTGCTTGCGATGTATTGATAAAAAGCAGGTCTTCTGCTTCGTCAAACTTTACAAAGTTGACACACTTTTAAACCGTAAGTATAGGCTGTTGATTATAATGTTTAAACTTTAACATTATTGCTATCAATGTAATGGTTTAAGTATATCACTAGTTTGGTCTTTTTAAAGCTTGTTAATGAAAATGACCTAAAGTTCTTAGATATGTTGACCAGATTCATATGTAAACTTACTAATTAGGAGATATCTTTAATAGTTTATTTTAACACTTTAAAGAATCAAACAATGCATGGTTTACAAGTCATGGTATATGCAGTGTGTATACATTTTGCTTCTGATCGTTTTTTGGCTACAACATGTATCAGATTAAATGTATGGATTTAATACAATTGTCAGAGTAAACCTTCATGAATTTTAATTCATTCTTATTATAGTTTCATGGTCATGAATATTGAAATTGAAACTAGAGCCAGTAAGAGCTGGATTTCATAGCCATGAAAAATGTTGCAAAATCAATATAGATTTTTTTTATGATAACCAACTTTTTTATAATAATTTTTTCATTACCATGATATTTTTGACAGTTTCAACATTTTGTCAGCATTTTTTTCATGGCCATGATTTTGGGCATTAGGGTTAATTTATTACCATGACTTTTTTTCATGATCATGATAAAGTTTCTGTCAAAGACCATTTCAAAGTTTATTTCTTCATGACCATGAAACAAAATTGCATCATTATGATTTATTACTCTAAAAAAAAAAAAAAAAAACCCCAATTCAAAATCACAGCTGTAGAAAATTTCACCATTGCAGTGGATAGACATCATGGCTTTGAAATTGAGGAATTCATGGCTTGTTCATTGATACACAGTGTCAGTGAAAAAATATCAAGACTTTTTCTTATTAACTCGTGAAAAGCAATGGGACCTGTTTTCATGGCATGTATTCATGTTTTCATGGGAATATCATGACAATTTCATTGAATTTTCATGGATTTTACTTCTAGTAGTGTATACTCTGGTCACTTCTGCTGATATTGGAATACATATAAATAGTTTGCACTGTTTGACTAATAAAAAGAAAACCTAATGTGGCTCAATCATGGTTAAGTGAATGTTTGTTGATAAATTTTGCCTGATCTATATTTAAAACACAAATCAGATACTGTATGTGTGTTATATGGTGAATTAAGGCATAAAATTTCTATGAGATTATAAATAGATCCTTTTTTGTGATTTTTTCATAAACAATATTATAAACTGAAATCCAAACTTGTGTAGAATATCCGTTTAAACTAGGAAAATTTTTTCCTAAACTCTTGATAAGAACATCATACCTACTACATAACCTACACTGATGAAGCTTATTTCTTATTAAATTGATATTTCCTTGGGAAAAGCTGTTATTCCTGAAATCTTTGGAGCACTTTCAGATAAGTCCAGGAGAGACTGTGTTGGAATCTAAATATTTTAGTGTTATGTCTCGTAAGAGATTCTACAGTTTCCAGGAGAGACTGTGTTTGCATCTAAATATTTTGGTGTTATATCTCATAAGATATTCTAAAGTGTCCATGAGAGACTGTGTTTGCATCTCAATGTTTTGGTGTTGTTTCTAGCTGGAGATACTACAGTGTCCAGGAGAGACTGTGTTTGTACCTGGAGGTTGGTGGCATGTCGTAATAAACTTGGATGATACTATTGCTGTTACTCAGAATTTCTGTAGTGTGACCAACTTTCCTGTTGTCTGGCATAAAACTGTGCGAGGCAGACCAAAACTTTCCAAAAAATGGTACCGCACACTTCAGGTGAGCAAAGCTATCAACTTTTTACCAAAGTCTGTCAAAGGGTACATTGTACTAAAGGAGACCAGTTGACATTGTGATTCACTGACAAGTCATTGTACTAAAGGCAAAAAATTCAACCTTGATAAGTCATCATATTAAATGTGACAAATTTGACCTTGAGTTTCAATGAAAAGTCATTGTAATAAAGGTGACAAATTTGACCTTGAGTTTCAGTGAAAAGTCATTGTAATAAAGGTGACGAATTCGACCTTGAGTTTCAGTGAAAAGTCATTGTAATAAGGTGACAAATTTGACCTTGAGTTTCAGTGAAAAGTCATTGTAATAAAGATGACTAATTGACCTTGAGTTTCAGTGAAAAAGTCATTGTAATGAAGGTGACAAATTCGACCTTGAGTTTCAGTGAAAAGTCATTGTAATAAAGATGACAAATTCGACCTTGAGTTTCAGTGAAAAGTCATTGGAATAAAGGTGACAAATTCGACCTTGAGTTTCAGTGAAAAGTCATTGTAATAAAGGTGACTAATTGACCTTGAGTTTCAGTGTAAAGTCATTGTAGTAAAGGTGACAAATTTGACCTTGAGTTTCAGTGAAAAGTCATTGTAATAAAGGTGACTAATTGACCTTGAGTTTCAGTGTAAAGTCATTGTAATAAAGGTGACTAATTGACCTTGAGTTTCAGTGAAAAGTCATTGTAATAAAGGTGACTAATTGACCTTGAGATTCAGTGTAAAGTCATTGTAATAAAGGTGACTAATTGACCTTGAGTTTCAGTGAAAAAGTCATTGGAATAATGATGACAAATTTGACCTTGAGTTTCAGTGAAAAGTCATTGTAATAAAGATGACAAATTCGACCTTGAGTTTCAGTGAATAGTCATTGTAATAAAGGTGACAAATTTGACCTTGAGTTTCAGTGAAAAGTCATTGTAATAAAGGTGACTAATTGACCTCGAGTTTCAGTGAAAAGTCATTGTAATAAAGGTGACTAATTGACCTTGAGTTTCAGTGAAAAGTTGTTGTAATAAAGGTGACAAATTCAACCTTGAGTTTCAGTGAAAAGTCATTGGAATAAAGGTGACAAATTCGACCTTGAGTTTCAGTGAAAAGTCATTGTAATAAAGGTGACTAATTGACCTTGAGTTTCAGTGAAAAAGTCATTGTAATAAAGGTGACAAATTTGACCTTGAGTTTCAGTGAAAAGTCATTGTAATAAAGGTGACAAATTCGACCTTGAGTTTCAGTGAAAAGTCATTGTAATGAAGGTGACTAATTGACCTTGAGTGTCAGTGAAAAAGTCATTGTAATAAAGGTGACAAATTCAACCTTGAGTTTCAGTGAAAAGTCATTGGAATAAAGGTGACAAATTCAACCTTGAGTTTCAATGAAATGTCATTGGAATAAAGGTGACAAATTCGACCTTGAGTTTCAGTGAAAAGTCATTGTAATAAAGGTGAGAAATTCGACCTTGAGTTTTAGTGAAAAGTCATCGTAATAAAGGTGACAAATTTGACCTTGAGTTTCAGTGAAAAGTCATTGTAATAAAGATGACAAATTTGACCTTGAGTTTCAGTGAAAAGTCATTGTAATAAAGCCGACAGATTCGACCTTGAGTTTCAGTGACATATCATTGTACTAAAGATAATCAGTTGACTTTGAGTATCACTGTCTGATTGTTGTACTTAAGGCAACCAATCAACCTCGAGAATCACTGACAGGTAATGTAAGAAGCCAATGATTAATGTTGATAAGCTGAACCTTAGTTAAATTATACCATCCAGATATCTTCAGGTGGACTAGTCTGCTTGAAAATACATCGAAAAAAGATAAAAAATATATAGAATAAAAATCCTTATTAGATGTGTGATGCAGTATTTAGTGTTGCATTAACAGAGAGAAAAGCCAGCAGTAGCAGCAATGGCTGACAGAGTGGACTTGAGTCAACCCACTGGATTTAACTCGGACAGTTCTAGCTCTGGCTCGTCTAGCTCAAGTTCCAGCTCAGAGTCCTCCGCAGACAGCTCAGACTCGCACAGAACAAAGAAAAAGAGGTATGTATTGTCCCTTTTGTTATATATATGATATACTGGTCAAAAAGATATCCACCTATAATGTTTATGGTCTAGGGGGAGGTAACTCTATTCCGGATATTGTCAGTTGGTTTTATTTTTGTTTTATTAGTTTATATTTAATTCCAGAAAATATGTCCAATATATTGGTTTTTCAGTTGGTCGTTGGAAAAAAAATAAAGATGTCAGAAGCTTAAGGTTATTTTGGCATCAGAAGAGTTAGAAATCACAGCCAAGCAGACAACACGTTTGCTAATGTTTAATGATGGCACGTAAGTGTAGTTTAAGATTAAATCATTGCTTTCAAGGTAAAAAGTATTTGCCTGGTATGTTTCTGTGATGATGAGGCATCAGTCTGTTTTGTGTCTGATATTTCTATTTGAGCTTACCTTCCTCCTGTTTATGTCCATGTTGTATTTCCTTTATTTAGGTCATCTTACCAAATGGCTCAAACTGGCCTGTAGCTACTGTCTTTCATCTGTTGTTATGCGCTAAGCACTGTGCATAAACATTCCATTCAAATGACTTCTTTTCAATAACCAGAAGACTCAAGATACTGATATTGAGCCTGTAACATGATGGGATGAAGGTCTACCAAGTTTGTTAATATAAATGACCTTGATCTTCCTTCATTGTCACAGGGGTCAAATATGTTAAAATCTTTAAACAACTTCTTCTCAATAATCAAAAAGGTCCAGGATGGTGATTTTGGGCCTGTAGCATGATGGGATGAAGGTCTACCAAGTTTGTTGATATAAATTGCCTTGACTTTCCTTCATGGTTGCAGGAGTCAAATATGTTAAAATGTTTAAACAACTTCCTCTCAATAACCAAAATGACCAGGGTGTTGATATTGCACCTATTGCATGATGGCAGGAAGGGCTATGGAATTTGTTCATATTTATTTTAGGCCTATTTGGCCTCTTTCATATATATGTCTTTTTCAGATGACCCTTAAGGACCTGGGGCCTCTTGTCTTTAAAAGTTTATGGAATTTTCTTTCATCACAGAACCTTGAATGCTTCTTGTTGTTAATTCAGAGAATTTACCAGTCAGTGTATTGTATCTTCCATTTTTGTAGTTCTGTTTTCATTTTATTATTATTTTTTTCATCACCGTGTGAATTTTTTCTTTCAGACGCAGAACTGCAAAATCAAGGTCACGTTCCATCACTCCCAATGGTAGTAAACGCCACTCACGGTCACAGGAGACAAGGGGTCAGAGGTCACGATCATATTCTTCTTCGAGCAGTGAAAGAACCAGTCACCGAAGCATATCAAGTACACCTAAAAACTCAAGATGACCTGACATCAATTGCTTATATTTCTCAGTATTGACATGAATATTAATTAATCTTATGTATAAGTGTGGAGAATATTTGATCTAAGTTTCTGATCTAGGCTTTATAATGCCAACTTATGCAAATGATCTGAAATATAAGCTGTCTGCATTATCACATGATACTAGTGTCAGATGACCCAGTCACATGATACTAGTGTCAGATGACCCAGTCACATGATACTAGTGTCAGATGACCCAATCAGAACTGCCAGGAATAACTGTACATTTCCATCCACCAATAAATATGTTTATTTTGTGTGGCGTAGTCATGTAATGCTAACTGTGTGTCCTACATCGGATAACTGTGTATATTAGTCTGATAACAGATTACAGGAAGGAGCAACTCTGGTTTGGTATGGAAATTATTTCCTTGGAAGGATATGGCTTTGTGCCTTGGATCAACATTTGTTGAAGTGTGATGTAGTCACTTGCTTTCTACATGTCCATTGTATAAATGTAATATTAACAAGCGGGCCTATTATTACTGTTAAAAGGACTGTTTTGTCATGTTCACGTAATGAACACCTCCTGGAGCAACTGTGGATTTCACTGAAGGATCAAACTTCAGTGGCATTTTTCAACAGTAGAATTCTTGTTGCTACATCAGAATAGATTTACAATCTGAGAAGAAAAACCAGAGACAGGAAATTTTGCAATACTATTTGCGTTCATTGTTTACTTATTTCATTAAAGCTAATCGGTTCTATTTTACATTCATTGTCAAAAGCGTTGTTATTTTGGTCACTAGAATCCTGTACTAGAAACTTCCTCAAATTATTTCATAAATATCCTACATCAGGTTAGCTACTATTTCTCTATGTTACTTTCAACCATCCCTCTATTAAAATATTCATACCACGAGAGATTTCCCTGTCATTTATGTACTGTTCCCTCCTACCCTCCCTCTAATGATCAAGAAATTCTTGGATTTTGACGGTTAAAGTTCTTCATGATAACTTAGTGGTCTTCCTCGCATATCATTTTCCTTTGGTCCTTTGAAGGGTGTTTTTCAATATTGATTGGACAGAACGACTTCACTAGGATTAGGTTGGAATTTTGAGTGTTAAAGTTTGTAATTTTTATTTCTATGAAAGTACCTCTTTTCAAAGTTTAAATGAAAACTTTACTTGGTCTCCAAATATTGTAAATGTTGAATTTTGATGCGGATTTGGAAAATGACATCGACCAACTGTAGACCTCGAAAGTAAACGTTAAATGTGGTATTTCTGGAAAAAAACTTCATTAAGTTTTCTAATGTCATAATATTCACTTCAGTCTCTTGTTGTGTGTGTTTGAGTCCTCAGGGGAAAAATGGCTGACTGGCAGCCAACTCATATCTGGACTTTAGATTTCTTGTGTATATTTCTAAGAAAGAATCTTTAAAGTTTTATATGTAGATTTCTATTGAGCCCTTTTCATATATATCTTTATTTCCAGTTTAAACATTTAAGCAAAATAGTCCACAGATGTCTCTCAAATTTCGTATGTAGCATTCCGGTTTTGTTTGATTTGTGCTAGATTTTACAAGTGTCTTTTGCATATTTTGATGATTAATGATAGTCATTTCCAGCAACCAAGAAGAACTTTGAGAACATATTTTTCTGGTTTAAGATAAAGGTTTCTTCGAGAAAAAAAAGTAAAAAAAGAAGTGATTAAATTATCAGTACTGCAAAAAGTTCGTATCAAAATTCGACAAAACATATTACAACATTTGACGAGAAGATTTTGTTCCTAACGATCAGAAACTTTTCTAATGCTTTTTATCATTGTGTCTATTACTTTAATCCTATTGAAAAGAAAATTTATACCAAATCAATTAACTACCAGCAGCTGTTTACCTTGATAACCGGAAGCTGTTTATCTTGACTACCGGCAGCTGTTTACCTTGACCACCGGAAGCTGTTTATTTTGACTACCAGCAGCTGTTTACCTTGATTACCGGAAGCTGTTTATCTTGACTACCGGCAGCTGTTTGTCTTGACTACCGGCAGCTGTTTATCTTGACTTCCGGCAGCTGTTTACCTTGACTAACGGCAGCTGTTTACCTTGACTACCGGAAGCTGTTTATCTTGACTACCAGCAGCTGTTTATCTTGACTTCCAGCAGCTGTTTACCTGGACTACCGGCAGCTGTTTACCTTGACTACCGGAAGCTGTTTACCTTGACTACCGGCAGCTGTTTACCTTGACTACCGGAAGCTGTTTACATTGACTACGGACAGCTGTTTACCTTGACTACCGGCAGGTGTTTACCTTGACCACCGGAAGCTGTTTGTTTTGACTACCGGCAGCTGTTTACCTTGATTACAGGAAGCTGTTTGTCTTGACTACCGGCAGCTGTTTACCTTGACCACCGGAAGATGTTTATCTTGACTACCGACAGCTGTTTACCTTGACTACCGGCAGCAGGCTACCTTGACTACTGAGAGCTGTTTAGTTTACCTACATCCGACCAATCATTTATCCTCTTTCTATAGTACTCGTTCGATGAAGGACATTATCTAGATGATTTTATTGACAAACAGGTGAAGAGCATCTAACTGTATATCTTCCCTGAAAGGTTCAATCATGTCTGTTTCCTACGATCATACAGTAGAGCTAAATAATAAAATAAGTTACACCATGCATATGTTTCGTTCATCTCTGCCAGTGATACTAAGTGTCTGCCATACAGATGTTTCGTCCATCTATGTCAGTGATACTATGTGCCCGCCATACAGATGTTTCGTCCATCTATGTCAGTGATACTAAGTGCCCGCCATACAGATGTTTCGTCCATCTATGTCAGTGATACTAAGTGCCTGTCATACAGCTGTTTCGACATTCTAGGTCAGTGATGCTAAAAACCCGCCATACAGCTGTTTCGACATTCTAGGTCAGTTATACTAAGTGCCTGTCATACAGCTGTTTCGACATCCTAGGTCAGTGACACTAAGTGCCGGCCATACGGCTGTTTCGACTTTCTAAGTCAGTGATGCTAAAAGCATATCAATCGAGAAGCCTGGGAGGTGACTGAGGAGGTCATAATCAAAACGGGTGAAAACTAATGTTTGAACTAAGATCCAAGTGTATCGCTGAGACAAAACCTTCAGATATATTAGGGATATGGTACATGTCTGGTCAGTTTTGGAAGCTAAGAGAAAAGATAATTGATATTTCAAAATATATAAAACATTCATAAAAATTCTTTTTGTCGGCAGAGTATTCAACATTTGCCAGAATTGAAACGCAAATCATGCGTGACAATGGATATTGGTGTCAATCCAATTGGCCATATCAAATAACATGTTCTCTTTGTTAATGATCCAAACGAAACGACAGTAATGAAACATATCATAGACAAAATCTCTCCCTTCTCCTCAGTTACAATCACAAGGGAATTTTCTGTATACTTTATTACATTTTACAAATCAAATATTAAAATACTTTTCAATGTATAGAACTTTGGCTGCACCGACTGTGTGTCATGATGTGTATAGTTGACAATGTAAGGAAGGATCTGGCTAGATAGTGACTGTGATATGATGTGAAGTGGACAATGTAAGGAAGGATCTGGCTAGATAGTGACTGAGTGACATGATGTATAGTTGACAATGTAAGGAAAGATCTGGCTAGATAGTGACTGTGTGTCTTGATGTGTATAGTTGACAATGTAATGTCGGATCTGACTAGATAGTGACTGAGTGACATGATGTATAGTGGACAATGTAAGGAAGGATCTGACTAGATAGTGACTGTGTGACATGATGTGTAGTGGACAATGTAAGAAAGGATTTGACTAGATCATAACTATTTTTCATGATGTGTATAGTTGCCAATGTGAGGAAGGATTTGACTAGCCAGTGACTTTGTGTCTTGATGTGTACAGTTGACAATTTAAGGAAGGATCTGACTAGATAGTGACTATTTGTCATTATGTGTAGTGGATTATGTAGTGTCGGATCTGACTAGATTGTGACTTTGTGTCTTGATGTGTATAGTTGACAATGTAAGGTCAGATCTGACTAGATAGTGACTGTGTCTCATGATGTGTATAGTTAACATTGTCAGGTCGGATCTTACTAGATAGTGACTGTGTGTCATGATGTGTATAGTTTACTATGTAAGGTCGGATCTGACTAGATAGTGACTGTGTGTCAAAATGTGTATAGTTGACAATGTAATGTCCGATCTGACTAGTTAGTGACTGAGTGACATGATGTATAGTTGACAATGTAATGTCGGATCTGACTAGATAGTGATTATGTGACATAATGTGTAGTCGATAATGTAAGAAAGGATCTGACTAGATAGTGACTGTTTCTCATGATGTGTAGAGGACAATATAAGGAAGGATCTGACTAGATAGTGATTGTGTGACATAAAGTGTATAGTTTACAATTTAAGGAAGGATCTGACTAGATAGTAACGGTTTGTCATTATGTGTAGTGGGCAATGTAATGTCGGATCTGACTAGATTGTGACTTTGTGTCTTGATGTTGTTGACAATGTAAGGAAGGATCTGGCTAGATAGTGACTGTGTGATATGATGTGTAGTGGACAATGTTAAGAAGGATCTGACTAGATAGTGACTGTGTGTCATGATGTATAGTTGACAATGTAAGGAAGGATCTGGCTAGAAAGTGACCATGTAAAATGATGTGTATTTGACAATGTGAGGAATGATTTGACTAGATAGTGACTGTGTGATGGTGTATATAGTTCAAAATGTAAGGAAGGATCAGACTACATAGTGACTGTTTGACATGATGTGTAGTTGACAATGTAAGGAAGGATTTGACTAGATAGTGACTGTGTGTCTTGTTGTGTATAGTTGACAATGTAAGGAAGGATCTGACTAGATAGTGACTGTGTGACATGATGTGTAGTTGACAATGTAAGGAAGGATTTGACTAGATAGTGACTGTTTGTCAAGATGTGTATAGTTGGCAATGTGAGGAATGATTTGTCTTGATAGTGACTGTGTGTCATGATGTGCATAGTTGACAATGTAAGGAAGGATCTGACAAGATAGGATGTTGACTAGATAGTGACTGTGTGTCATGTTTGATTTATAGTTGACAATGTAAGGAAGAATCTGACTAGAAAGTGACCATGTAAAATGATGTGTATTTGACAATGTGAGGAATGATTTGACTAGATAGTGACTGTGTGTCATGATGTGTATAGTTGACAATGTAAGGACGGATCTGACTAGATAGTGACTGTGTGTCATGATGTGTATAGTTGACAATGTAAGGACGGATCTGACTAGATAGTGACTGTGTGTCATGATGTGTATGGTTTACAATGTAAGGTCGGATATGACTAGATACTGACTGAGTGACATGATGTATAGTTGACAATGTAAGGAAGAATCTGACTAGATAGTGACTGTGTGACATGATGTGTAATGTTGTATATGACAAGGAAGGATGGGACTAGATAGTGACTGTTTCTCATGGTGTGTAGAGGACAAAATAAGAAAGGATCTGACTAGATAGTGACTGTGTGTCATGATGTGTATAGTTGACAATGTAATGTCGGATCTGACTAAATAGTGATTGTGTGACATAATGTGTAGTCGATAATGTAAGGAAGGATCTGACTAGATAGTGACTGTGTGACATGATGTGTAGTGGACAATGTGAGAAAGGATTTGACTAACCAGTGAATTTTTGTCTTAATGTGTATAGTTGACAATGTCAGGAAGGATCTGGCTAGATAGTGACT